TAGCTTCTACAGAACAACATTTCAATACAACATATGGAATGTAATAATCAGAATTGTCTTTTGCTAATAAAGATTTGCCTTAAAAATTAAATTTAAATACAAATCTAAGTTTATTCCTACCAATTTGTTTTCCATTTTGGGTAAAGAAAATATAAGGAAATTCTTCGGTATTAGTTAGAGAATAAACTACACCACACCCAAAAACATCATTATCATTCCAAGAAAATGATGACAAGTTAAATTCTTCATCGTTTTCATGTATAATTACACCCTTCTTTGCAACAAATCTAAACCACTTAGTATTATTAGCAACACCAATAACCATCCAACAATTATCCAATTCTCTCTCCATTTTACATTTAATTTCAAAATAAAATAAAGAATAATTGATACAATTTTGAGGTTTTTTGATTGAATCTTCAGCATAAACAATAGCTTGAAAATCATTCCCTAAAATTTTATAAAATTAATTCCAAAAATTTTAAAGCAACCTTTCCCTTCCAAACAATTAATATATTTAATATTCATGTCATTAATTAAATTAATAAATCCATTCCCCTCAATACAATTACCAATTGGTTTGGCTGTATTTATACATTTATTTTCACAACATTTATAGCTTTTATCAATATTCTTCCATTTATTTTTAATTTCAACAAAATTCTCAAAAAATTATTTATTTTTATGAATATTTAATTAAGCTAACCACTACTTTACAAGTAACATTATTTAATTTTTCCAATTTAAGATCAGACTCGAGTTTTTGATTTTTCTAAAATTATAAGCGTATACATATTTATTGAAGATTGTATGTATTTGGCCTAAGTTCGTTTTATGAGTCTGATCCCGATTTGGATATTTATATGTCATCCGAAAGAGCTCGTCGAGCAGAGTCGAATGACACCAAAATTAGCCCTCGGTCTCAACTGTGAGCCGAGAAATAGGGCTCGAAATCGTCAAATTTATTAGGGAGTGCTCGCTTCGCTCGCGGCGATAGTATCGAAGCGGTGGGCGTAATATAATATAAAATAATATCGTAACGGCATCCGTCGTTCCGGCTTTCTCCGCAACCGCAAAAACTTTTTTCCGCGGAGGCCTTGTGGAAAGGCTAAAAATAAACGGGCGTAACTTTCTCAAATCAAGTCGGATTTTGTTGATTTTGGTGTCATTTGACTCAGCTCGACGAGCTCTTTCGATTGACATGTAAATCATCAAAATCGGGATCAGACCCATAAAAGTATTTTATTTTCAAACCTCCTTCATTTCTTTCAATTCATTTTCTAGAATTTTCTTTTCAAGATTAAAATTCTTTTCCTTTTCTTCAATAAATTTTGTTTGAATATGGTTAAAATTAGTTTGAAGTTCTATTAAATAATTGCTTTGGTTTAACTTAATTATTTCAATTAAATTTCTTTTAATATTTCAAAAAATTACTATTAATTCCAAAACAGAAGTTGGCACTTCCTGGGTCATTTTTTGTTGGAATTTAATTAAAATATCTTAAAATAAGCAATACTTTTATTTAAATGATGAAGTACTAAAATAATAAAATTAGATAAATTAAAATAGTCAATTTTACACAAAAAATTAAATTAATTTCTTTTTTAAAAAATCCCAAGTTATAGAAAATCTTTTAAACTGAAAAAAAATATTCAAAAAATACTACTTATATTTTGAAGGATTTTTGATTCAGGGGCAGTTTTATTAAATAATATTTATGTTGGAAGATGGGGAAGAATTTATGTATGGGAATATTTGTTGAGGGGAGTCCACCCCAGAGTATCGACACCCAAAGTATCGCACCCAGAGTATCGACACCCAAAGTATCGCACCCAGAGTATCGACACCCAAAGTATCGATGACCCAAAGTATCGAAACCCAAAATGACGAATTACCCAAAGTATCGAAATTTTTAAATTGTATTATAAAGCATTGGGAAGTTTTTCCAATGACGGGGAAGCTTATTTTGATCAAATTTTTCAATTGATTCGAAACTATGGGTCATTCAATATTGATCATTGAGGTGATCAATAAAACTGTCGTTTATCACTCGTTTGATCACTCTTCCGGTTGATCATCACTCGGTTTTCTTCTTTGAAATTTTTTAAGAATATTTTCGATTTCGATATTTCTCAGCTTTTTCCGATTTTGTATATCGGATTTCCGAAGATAATTTTGTTTCTAAACAGCTATGTTGATCACTTACCCGATTGATTACTCCTAGTTTATCATTTTCTAGGTTGATCACTAACATTATTGCTAAATTACTTCATTGATCACTCATTTCCTGATCAATTCAACGAATTGAAGTTTGCTCCGTCATTGGAAAAACTTCCCAATGTTTTATAATAAAATTTAAAAATTTTCGATACTTTGGGTAATCCGATACTTTGGGTGTCGATACTTTGGGTCATTCGATACTTTGGGTGTCGATACTCTGGGTGTCGATACTTTGGGTGTCGATACTCTGGGGTGATCCCGTTGAGGGAATACATTGGTTTTAGGTTGTGCATCAGGGCTGTGCGCCAAAATTTTCGCGTGGCGCGCCAAACGCCAAACGCCAATTTTTCAAATTTTAAAAACACGCCAAACGCCAAACGCCAAAAATCGGCCAAAATCAACGCCAAAACGCCAAACGCCAAACGCCAAACGCCAAAATTTTTAGAGTCTATAAAGACTTAAAAATCACTGTTCATCTCATTTTAGCGCCGCAGGCGAATTTTTTTAATTTTCAAGATTCCCAGAAGCCAGAATTCATCCTTTTTTTACCGCCGGAGTGAAATTTTTGAGAATTTTGGAGGCAAAAAAGCCGAAATTTATCCTTTAAAAAATTTTAAAAAATAAGAAATTCATAGAACTCCTTGAGATTAAGGTGGATATGAAGGGATAAAGGGAGTAATGAGTATAACAGAGGTCATGAAGAGAGTAAACGATTGACGGGACTAGTTTTTTTACCATCTATTAGTTTAAGATAAGGGCTTCCTCCTTTAAGCGCCGCAGGCGAAAATTTTGAAAATTTTGTAAGTTCAAGTAGTAGATTTCTTCATTTTTATGCGCCGCAGGCGAAAATTTTGAGAATTTTGGATGACTGTATGCAGAAAAATTTCCTTTTTCGATCATCCCTTTCTCCATTTATTTAAAAAAATTCCATCATTAGGGGTGTATATTTCTGGCGTTTGGCGCGCCAAAATCGGAAAATCACTCCAAACGCAAAACGCCAAAAATCGGCCAAAATTAACGCCAAAACGCAAAACGCCAAACGCCAAACGCCATGACGCACAGCCCTGTTGTGCATGGCACAGCTAGTATACGGTCATCTACAATTCTAAGAATTTCCGCATATGGCAACGAAAAATTAAAAAGCATGCGGTTATCGGAGGATTTACATGGGTTAAAGTGGATTTGAGGGATATACGGGGTAATAAAATGAGGGATTAAAGGGAATATCGAGGAATTTACGCGTGAGGAATTTACGCTCTTGCGCTGAGTGGGATATCTGAGGATTTGTTGGCTCCAGCCGCCGATTAAAATTTTGCAATAGCTGAAGGAAAAATAGCTATAGCTCAGCTCTACTTTACTATATAGGGGATTTGGAGAGGCTAACGGTGGTTTAAGATGTATATCATTGTATTTACTAATTCTCTCATGGTCTTTTTAGACACCTCTTGGAACATGGCTTCCCTTAAAACTATCAAATCATTCGCTATCTCATTCAAATCCTCTTAACTCGAATCGGGAATTAAAATTTCATCGGGTTCCCGATTTACTTTTCAACATACAATGATCACATTTCAATCAGCTGATTATTACTAGACTCAATGTTAAAAAATGGTATCACTTTGTAAGAATAAAATTAAGGAAAAAACAAAATTAATCTGTAAAATTAACGAAAATATCCACAACTTTAAAACAAAAATTTCAATAAAATTCTTTCAAAACAAAATGTTTTGAAATATCATAAATAAAAGGAATTTTCTCCAAATTATTTCCAAAGTTTGTTTCTACAGAACAACATAGTAGTACAACATATGGCTTATAGTAATCAGAATTGTCTTTTGATAATAAAGCTTTCCCTATAAAATTCAATTTAAGAATATACTTAAATCCTATCTTTACCAATTTGCTTTCCATTTTGGGTGAAGAAAATGTAAGGAAATTCTTCGGTATTAGTTGGAGGGTAAATTAATCCACACCCAAATACGTCATTATCATTCCAAGAAAATTTTGAAACTTTAAATTCTTCATTTTTTTCATTTACAATTACACCATTTTTTGGAAGAAATTTATAAAAATTATTAGTATTACCAACACCAATAACCATCCAAGTTAAATAATTACTTAATTCTCTTTCAATTTTACATTTAATTTCAAAATAGAATAAGGAATAAGTAGAACAATTTAGTGGTCTTTCAAATGAATTTTCAGCACGAACAATAACATCGATATCCTTACCTAAAAATATTTACAAAAATAATTCCTAACTTTAAATCAACCTTTCCCTTCCACACAATTAATATATTTAATATATTCATCATTAATTAAATTAATAAATCCATTCCCATTAATACAATTACCAACAGGGTTGCTTTGACTTATACAATTATCATCACAACATTTAATATATTTTCCAGCAATAGTTTTCCATTTATTTTTAATTTTAACAAATTTCTCAATAAAAAAATATTATTTTTTTATATTTAATTAAACTAACCACAACTTTACAAGTCACATTATTTAATTGCTCAAATTTAATAGTTAAATCAGCAATCTTTTCTGCAAATACATTATTTACCTTTTTAATTAGATATTATTTTTAAATAAATATGTGTGTACTAACAAATTTTAATATTATATCATTTTCATTCTTAACTTGCATGACTTTCTCATCAACAATTTGTTTGAAAATTTGTTTTGAACTCTCAATTTCATTTTTGTAATCAGATTCGAGTTTTTGAATTTTCTAAAATTAAATCATAGAATTTTAGAAAACTAAAAACATTTTATCTAATCAACCAAACCTCTTTCATTTCTTTTAAATCATTCTCAAGAAAAGTAATTTTCTTTTCAAAATTAAAATTCTTTTCCCTCTCTTCATTAAATTTAATTTGAAGTTCGTTAAAATTAGTTTGAAGTTGTATTAGGTCATTGCTTTGATCTAACTGTGAATATTTAAATTAAATTTTTAAATTTTTTCAAAAATTACTTTTAATTCCAAATCAGAATTTGACAACCCTTCTTCGGTCATGTTTAGAATTTAATTGAGATATCCTAAAAGAACAAAGTTTTATCACATAAAAAGCATCTTGTGCTATTTTTTGCCGCAAAACGCAAGACGCTTTTTATGTAAATGCGCCATAATAAATTAAAGAAAAAAGTTTATGAATTTAAAAATTCATAAAAATTATTTGGAATATTTAAATAAATATTTTTAATAATTAATAAACGTCGCGCAAAAATATTTTTGATTTAAAGACTCAGAGTGAATTAAAGGTTCTAGAGAAAATTAATTTTATTTAATATCGTTCACAAAGTAATCGGAAATTTATATTAATTCTCACATTTCTTCGCCAAACATTTTTGAGAAATTTAATCTAAAAATTAAACAAAAGGTATAATTAATCAAGAATGATAAAAATTATAGTAATACATAAATAGATCTGTTTTCCAAAAAAACCTTTAAAAATTAACAAAATTTATCAAGAAAAAATAATTCATAAAATCATAAAAATTCACAAATTCAATACAAAAAGTTCAATAAAATTCTTTACAAACAAAATGTTTTGAAATATCATAAATAAAAGGCTTTGTCCCTAAATTATTACCAAAATTCGTTTCTACAGAACAACATCTTAACACAATATATGGCTGGTAACAATCAGAATTATCCTTTGATAATATAGTTTTCCCTTTAAAACTAAATTAACAGAGTTAAGCTTTATTGTTACCAATTTGGTTTCCATTTTGGATAAAGAAAATATAAGGAAATTCTTCGTTTATTTTATTACTTGGTGGGTAAACTAATCCACACCCAAAAACATCATTATCATTCCAAGAGAATGTTGAAAGTTTAAATCAGGGTTCCGATTCGTGCTTTATTCGAAAGTATTATACTTTGAAACCGACCTCCATACTTACGAAATTGAATTTATACTTTATTGAAAGTATATACTTTGAAATCAACATTTTTGATTGAAAATGAAAATGGGGAATGGATTGGGCAAAAAAGTGAATTTTTTTAGCCGAGGGCCTTCGAAATTCTTAAAATTTTCGCCTGCGGCGCTGAAAAAGAAAGAAATCTGGCTTCTTGGGCTCTAAATTTAAAAAATTTTCGCCTACGGCGCAAGAAATGGAAGAGATCTGGCTTAAGGACCTCCAAATTTCAAAAAATTTTCGCCTGCGGCGCTGAAAAAAAATAAATCTGGCTTCTAAAGCTCTAAAATTCTCAAAATTATCGCTGCGGCTCTGAAAATGGACGGAAGAAAGTAATTTGCTTGAGTTTAAGACTGTCAGGGCTTTATTTATTGATCAGCGAATTTTGACATGACATGCGTTGAAATGCACAAAATGCTCAGTGGAAGCAAGAAATTATTAGAAAAGATTCATTTAGGAGAGAAATATAAAACATTTGAGCACGAATAAATATTTTCTAATTTAATTTGGAATATACTTTAAATTTGGAAATTTTCTCCCTATATACTTTTAAATCGAGATTTTTATACTTTTGATTGGCATTTTGTCGATCGGAACCCTGGTTTAAATTCTTCATCGTTTTCATTTATAATTACACACTCCTTTGCAATAAATCTAAAACACTTATTTGCATTATTAACAACACCAATAACAATCCCATTTAAATAATTATTCAATTCTCTTTCCATTTTACATTTAATTTCATAATAAAATAAAGAATAATTAAAACAATTTTGTGGCCTTTCAAATGAATCTTCAGCAAGAACAGCAACTCCAATATCATTACCTAAAATATTTACTAAAATTAATTTTAAAATTTTAAATTAACCTTTCCCCTCCACACAATTATAATATCTAATATATTCATCACTAATTAAATTAACAAATCCATTTCCCTCAATACAATTACCATTTGGTTTATTTGTATTTATACATTTATTTTCACAACATTTATAATTTTCACAAATATATTTCCATTTATTTTTAAATTCAACAAAATTCTCAAAAAAATTATTTATTTTTATATTTAATTAAACTAACCACTACTTTGCAAGTAACATTGTTTAATTGTTCAAATTTAATTGTTAAATCACCAATCTTTTGTTCAAATAAATTATTTACCTTTTTGAAATTTAAATGGCGCGCCGACGGATTTTAATTTGCGGACCCGAAATTTGCGGACCCGAACTATGCGGACCCGAATTTTGCGGATCTGAGGTTTGCGGACCAAAAATTTGCGGACCGACAATAGAGTCTACTGAACCTCGGAAATTTCAAAAATTTTAGCCTGCGGCGCTAATGAGGATAAATTCAGAAATCATGGCCTTATGAAATGGCCATATAAATGATTTCTTCAAGGAATTTTCTCGATTATTAAAATTCTGAAATTATTTTAAGATAAAAAATAGATAAAACTTATGAAAATCAAGAAAAAATCTTGAGTCCGGTTCGGATCAGTGTAAACTCTGCCGGAATCCTCAAAAAATAAAATTTTTAATTTTTCGTTTTTACTCAAGTGTCGGTCCTAAAATCTTGGTTCCGCAAAGATCAGGTCCGCAAACTTCGTGTCCGCAACCTTCGGGTCCGCAACTTTCGTTCCGCAAAATTCGGGTCCGCAAAGTTCGCGCCACGATTTAAATAATTATATTTTGAATTAAATTACAATTTTTACTTTTTCCAATTTATTAATTTCCTTTTCCAAAAAATTTATTTTTTCATCTTTTTGATTATTAACTTGATTTAAACAAATTTTATTTTCAGTTTCTGATTGCAAAACAACTGCTTGTTTAGAATTTTGTTTTAACTTTTCGATTTCATTTTTATGATCAGACTTGAGTTTTTGAATTTTCTAAAATTAAATTATAAATGTTTGGAAGAATAAATATTTCCAAACTTCTTTCATTTCTTTTAATTCATTTTCAAAAATTTTCCTTTCAAAATTAAAATTCTTTTCCTTCTCTTCAATAAATTTTGTTTGAAGGTCGATAAAATTATTTTGATGTTTTATTAAATAATTTTGGATTAACTTAAATTATTTAAATTTATTTTTTTAATTTTCCAAAAATTACTATTAATTCTAAAACAGAAGTTGGCACTTCTTCGGTCATTTTTTGGAATTTAATTAAAATATCTTAAAAAAGCAATACTTTTATTTAATTAAGTACATATTTATAATAAAATTAGATAAATTAAAATAATAATTAAATAAAATTTGCAAAAAAATATCAAAAAATTAATTTCTTTTTTTTAAAAAAACCCTCAAGTTATAGAAAATCTTTTAAACTGAAAAAAAATATTGAAGAAATATTATTTATATATTGAAGGATTTTTGGCCCAGGGACTTTATTGAATATAATTACCATGTTGAAAGATAGGAAAGAATTAATTTATGGGAATATTTGTTGAGAATACATACATATTTTAAATGGGTGGGGGCTAACTCAAGGAATACCAACTCAAGGAACGACAAGTCAAGGAAAAGACAAGTCAAGGAACGACCAATTCATGGAACATATGTATAACTCAAGGAATATTTTAAAAATCAGAATATTTTTAAAAACCAGAATTTTTTTTAAATTCTGTTTTTCAAAGTGTTCTAATTTGTTTTTAGATTCTTATTTTCTAAAAATATTCAGATTTTTCAAAAAATTTCGATTTTTAAAATATTCCTTGAGTTGCCTGTCTTTTCCTTGACTTGTCGTTCCTTGATTTGACTGTTCCTTGAGTTAGCCCGACACGATTTTAAATATACATTCATGTTAAAAAATAACGTTTGGTATTTGTACGTTGTGCATGTCAAAGCTAGTAGAGTTATCCAAGACTTTTGGTTTTTTCGGTCTTGGTTTAGAGGCTGTAGGTCTTTAGGGGTGGACTCGTTTTTACATCTTGAGTTTTAAAAATTATCCAAAAAATTAAAAAAAACAAAATTTTATCAAGAAAAAATAATTCATAAAATTAACGAAGAATCCACAACTTTAAAACAAAAATTTCAATAAAATTCTTTCAAAACAAAATGTTTCTTAATATCATAAATAAAAGGATTTTTCTCCAAATTATTTCCAAAGTTTGCTTCTACAGAACAACATTGTAATATAACATATGGCTCGTAACAATCAGAATTGTCTTTTAATAATAAGGCTTTACCTTAAAAAATTAAAGTTAAAAATATTATTTATTTATTCTTACCAATTTGTTTTCCATTTTGTGTGAAGAAAATATAAGGAAATTCATTAACTATAGTTGGAGGATAAACTAATCCACACCCAAAAACATCATTATCATTCCAAGAAAATGTTGAAACTTTAAATTCTTCATTTTTTTCATTTACAATTGCACACTTCTTTGCAACAAATCTAAAACACTTAATAGTATTAACAACACCAATATCCATCCAACAATTATTTAATTCCCTCTCCATTTTACATTTAATTTCAAAATAAAACAAAGAATAATTAAAACAATTTTGTGGCCTTTTAAATGAATTTTCAACATGTACAGCAGCACAAATATCTTTACCTAAAATATTTATAAAATTAATTTTAAAATTTTAATTTAACCTTTTCCCTCCACACAATTATAGTATCTAATATATTCATCACTAATTAAATTAACAAACCCATTTCCTTCAATACAGACACCACCAGGTTTGTTTGTACTTATACATTTATTTTCACAACATTTATATATTTCAGGAATATATTTCCATTTATTTTTAATTTCAACAAAATTCTCAAAAAAATTATTTATTTTTATATTTAATTAAACTAACCACTACTTTACAAGTAACATTATTTAATTGCTCAAATTTAATTGTCAAATCAGCAAATTTTTTTTCATATAAATTATTTACCTTTTATTATTAATTTTATAATTTATTTAATTTATAAAAATAAAATTTTCACACCTTTTTCATTTCCTTTAATTCATTTTCGAGATTTAAAATCTTTTGCTTCTCGTTAAATTTTTGTCCATCTTCGGTCATTTTTCAGAATTTAATTAAAATCTTTAAAAAAACTAAAATTTATGTAAATTTTATAGAAAATCTTTCTAAACTTTATTT